TGTTAGAAATAGATGTAAGATAATATCCTAAAACCAACGTAAAGACGATAAGGGAGTTTAAGTAAAGATGTTAAGATGGATGGAGGGATGTATGGAACATTGAGATGGTCATTAAATAAACCCGTATTTGAAGCTGCAGTTAACTTATTAATCTTACATTTGTGGTCAGAATTTGAGCTTGCATCGAATTTATGGGAAGTCCCATCCATCCATCCATCCTCTTTCTTATTAGATATGTATAGGAGGCCACTAGAAGACGCGAAGTAAATGAAATAGATAGATACTACACATTAAAGCGCAGTATCAACGCAAGGATAGTCGTATCTGTTCATGTGAAGCAGCCGGGACATATTTCGACTGTTTTTGCTCCCCTCCAGACTCTCCTTGGTTGTTTGAAGATGCATTCGGATACTCTATGTTTTAGTTGCGTGCCTTGCCTTCCTATTGAACAATTTCGTTCCACTGTGATTCCGCAGGCTGTTCACTGAGAGAATTCGATACTATGCACTGCCTATGTGTACGATTGTCCTTCACGGGGACGTAGATTCTTTACGTGTAGGTAGTTCCATATGGTTATGAACGCTCAGCAGTGGTGCATCACACATACATGAAAGCAATTACTAGCAGCTTGGATCATGCTAGTATTGATATATGAGTTTGAATTACTATCGTGATTCACTCGCTCGGCACTAATCGTCACTGCAATCATAATTCAACCATAGCCACAGCCTCATACCACCCCTCAGACCATATATTATCTAGAGTATATCTATCTATCTCATCACTTACCTTCCAAAGTCTTATCGAATTAAGACTACCTGCCCTAGCACCCACACTGCAACACTAATCGACCACTCTTGAAGACTCTCCTCTAATGCTTCTGTAATTTCCCTTTACAATACTTACGGGCGGCTTCTGTTATTTTCCGAAATCTTTCCCATTCATCACACTTTCGACGGACAATGGCAACCTCTGAGAGCAAGCACATATCCCGTTTATGATATCAACCATCATTCTCCTACTCCTCTCAATTGCTACTATAAACTTTTATGGCTCGATCCTAGCCTTTATCTCCTGGGACACTTTGAGTGTAACAGAAGACCTTCATTTGGGCTACAAGACTTTCAAAATCTATGTTCTTCCCGAGCACCTTGACGTATCAAGCACTAAATTGGCACTAGCCTCTGGTATTACATCTCTGGTCACATCAGCAGCGTGCATAGCATATGCAATATCATCGCGGCCTAACAGCCAAAGATTAAGATAAACAGCAGTTCACTCTCCTCACAAATAAAAATGCTAATTATCATAAGACATACCCGTACCCTCCAGTTTCGCTTCTTCGCTGCGGTTTAATACTCAACGCACTCCTATCCTTTCTCACAATGGTATATCTCCAACTCACATACTTCCATTCAGCAACATACGAACCTAATTACCACGGACACTCTCATAGCGGTACTTTCGATTTCGAGTCTTGGACATGCCAAGTTATCCGGTACCCGAACGAATTTTCGCATAGACATTGTGCTGATGCAAAAGCTGGACGTGTTATAGAGGCTCTTTTGTGTTTTGATGCAATTTTTGCTGCTTTTCTGGGTGTTCCGGTGTTGCGGAGAGAACGAAGTATTAGTTATTCGGTAAATGATGGTGCGGGAAGATGGGCTGGGTACTATGTTGGCGACGGAGAGAAGGGTGATGGAGTGGTCGATTGGGTTGTTTTGCTCTGAGGTTTCAGTATGAGTTATGTAGCTGACTTGATGGTCAGGAGGAAAGCATAGAAGGGAGAAGAGGCAATCGCAGGTCTGTTGCCGAAATAGTTGCTATTTTCCCCCTCAATTTTGGCTACTTCGTCATGATTTTTAGCTGGAGTCCTGCTTCTAGGCAATTTTGGCATTGCCATATGACATGAAAATCCTCCATTTTTTGAATCTTCAATACTACACATACTGTTTCCCCTTGTTCTGATAAAGTATTTAATATTTCTCTCGCTTTTTGTCACTACCGAGAAACCTTCCGTCCATCACATGCAGATACACAACGATCACTCCGCAACGACACTATACTGTGCCATATTGGGTGCGTAATTAAGTGCTCGAGTACGTATGCATTTGTTGCTTTTGGCGTTGAACGTGGATATGGTCATGTTGGGCTAGTTTTGGTATTTTAGTGTATTTGTATGTTTGATTTTACCCCCTCGGATTGGAAAGTCACGATACTGTACCCTTTCTTTTCCTCCTCGCGTATTTCCCTCTCGACTTCATAGCCTAGAGGAAATAGAGAAAACAAGCTTCTATATCTCCACCACCAAAGTCATCCAAGTTGTGGTTCACAACTCCACCATACCTAGACTCAAATAGCTTCGATAATCTCTGAAGAGAGGTACCCTGGTCCCTAAGGGATGTATCCAACCTATAATCAACCTCAACTTTTACAATGATTGCCAACCCAACCATATTCGAACATGCAGTTCTTGGATATCCCTGGCATTACAGATGCCGTTGTGGTTCCTGTCCAGAAAATTGGTTTGATGCTTTTCTCGCGGAGGATCGGATTTTGTTTGTGAACCCGCGGAAGCCGTTTGCTAGGACTGCTAAGGGTACTGTCATTAGAAATAGGTTTTGGCAGACTATAATGAGAAGATTGATAAACTTGCGTAGAATTCTGGAGTTCATTCAGATCTGCATCTCTCCTCTCTATCATGGGTCGATTTTGTTCATGAATAGCACGGACAGCATGAACGTAGAATTTGAAACTTTCATCTCGACAATTTTCACTTGAGGAAGAAATATCTTCAACTAGAGCTACAGTATGTTACAGAATGTCTATTTTATGACGTAGTAATCGTGAGAACCCGGGTGGAATCCGAAACAAAGACAGCATTAAGAAATGCAAATTCTATCAGTATGTCATGTAGTATTGGCTGTGCAAGTGATATGGAAAGTGCGAGAGGTGAATTTATGAAGAATGTAAAACTATGATCCGTTGACAAGTCAATGCCAATATTGTGGTAATAGAATATAAGTACCAGCTGTTCAAGAGAAAGGTGATGAAGAATAAAGTTCAGCAGGTGTGAAAACCTTCAGACCTTGGGAACCGTTGTGAAGTATAGATGAATAGGGCAAGATAGAGAGGAGAAGACAGGAATATAAAAATTTGAAAGCATTCGTAGCGCACTAAGAAACCAAACTCGATTCGTTCTGCTCGATTTCCCTGGGAGAATGAATGGAGGTCAGAAGCCCGAGTCAAATGACCATGATTTCGACTTCCTCGACTTGATCATCTCCAGTACGTGTACTACCCAATAATGGTTTAAAGTCTAGACGTGCAAGATAGCCAAGAGGATTCTCGGCCCTCACTTTTTCAGCTATTTTTCGTATACAGTGCGGAGATTGTCCACAACTCAGAGATGCAACAGATCCAGTCGGAACGTCTAGCCCACAAATTTCCAGCTCAGCATGCGTGCTTCACCGGAAGAGCCGGAGTTCAGACGTGTAACAAAATCGATAGGAATTTCATGCACACGCATCTTGAACTCAACGTATTGCTATATCCCGTCCTAGGTCGACAAAGATGCCCATTTACATGCATGTAATGATTCGAATTAACTGCAGTTTTCAGCCATGCATTGTTAGGGTCATTCTGGCTGATGAATATGAAATGCATGTGTAATGAACGCATGATGATTCCTACACTGATAATATCTACCTACCTACCTAGCAGAGAGTACTACAGAATTCTACCACTTCATGTTGTGGTTCATTGGATTTGATGCTAAGTTAAGAGTAGACTAGTGCAAAGATTCATGTGATTATTTACAGCCTTGTCTTGCGAAGCTCGGACCAGCTAACTGGACATCGCGTCTCCCATCAGAAACAACCTCAATTCTAGATCAACAACCTTATTCAAAATTTATCATACGTGCCAGCGCAGCCTTACTTCACTTCTATTTGACTACGAAAATTCATCGCGCCAATAATCCACGGGAATTATCACCACAATTTATCCGAATTAACCACTGCCACTCGCAAAAATGCCACCCTTCAAGGATGAGCATATCCTTATTATTGCGCCAGGCTCACAAACTACTCTTGCTCAACTAGGTCTTCCCGAATCCTTCACTCCACCACAACGGCGATTCCCTACACGTATGTTTCTAGCTCCTGATGGGAAAACATATGAGCCATACAAAATTCGGCCGAAAAAGAAAGATGCCTCAGCTACAACAAACGGTGATACCGAGATGAGGGGACTTAAAGAAAACAAGACAGAGGAGGAAGAAGAATTAGAAGAGGTTCCTGAGGATGATGAAGGCGCTATTTGGCCATTGAGAGGTTTGCCCAATTTTTCCTACAGATTTACATGTACTGATAAAGTTCAGAGGGTCGAATTGAGAACCTCCCTGCCTTTTGCGCCTTTCTACATCATGTTCACAATCAGTTGTCGCCAACTCTTCATACTCCTGTTATGTTGATCGCACAACCTTCGTGGACGGCCAAGAATCATGAAGACCTTACTCAATTCATATTTGAAAAGTTCAGAACTCCGGCGCTTTGCATTATGGACAGTGCACTGGCAACTTCATATGCATTTGGAATTGCAAACTCAACGGTCATTGATGTAGGATTTGAAAAGGTTGACATTACTGCTGTCACGGATTTCCAAATAAGCGGTAGAGGAAATGTACCACAGTCGGGTGGAGAGGCTATGACATTGCGTTTGCAAGAGTTACTCAAGTCGAAGGGTTTTACGAGGGATATGGCGGAGCAATTGAAGAGGAGCCCAATTTGCGAGATCTTACCTCCCGGAACCCCTCTACCGGGAGGTGATGAGAATGTTGAGGCGGTAAGCAACCCTGCCGCTGCGGCCTCCACTGGTGCACCTTCTTCTGGACCAAATGTTAGGGTTACGGAAGCTCCTCGCGGGCCAGGGCACAATACCGAGGTGGGAGAAGAAGATGCCATTAATGGCGTCGATGTTACAGAGGATGATGGCGTTTTAGATGTTGCCAGTATTGTGGCAAGTGGGAAAACCCAAGAGTATCTGGCGAAGATCGAAAAGGAGAAAGCTGGAAAAGCTTCCAAGAAAGCACAGAAGGATAAAGAGGCAGCGGATGCAGCAGCAGCTAAGCCAGTGAGGTTACCAAATTCAAAAAGACCTCGCGCCACGTTCCACTACGAATCATCTCTTCCTGAGCCAGATACAAAACGCCAAAAGACACCTGAGCCAGTAACTACAGCGAATCATGAAGGAGCACCGTCTCCTACTGATGGTACCAACAAAACTACCGACACAACCACAGAACCCCTCATTGAGGCTGCAACAAGTACCGATCCGGCTGTTGCGGTAGACGGGGCTGTAGCTCGTGAACAAGCAAAGACTGCACGTAGACAGAAAGCTTGGGAAGATGAGCACCCAGACCGCATGAGGAGAGATATTGATATCGGCTTAGAACGATTCCAAGCAGCAAGTGAAAGCTACATGGACGCCATCGCCGATACTGTCTACAGGACAATTCTTTCCGTCGATGATATTTCCAAACGCCAAGATGCTTGGGACTCTTTGATCATCTGTGGATCAGGGTCAAAGGTCAGAGGCTTCAAGGATGCGCTGCTTGCCATCCTCAATAACCGATACCTCATTTCACCAAGCTCTGCAACCATGTTCATGAGCGAACTCCCATCAAACCTAGCAACACCTACTGGCACAGGGTCCATGACACCTAATGCTTCTTTCTCCTCGACACCACATCCAGTACCCTCAGCCAGTGCGGTCAATCCTTTACTCCTTGCAGCGACTACTGCATCTAATCCTGCACTTAATCCTAATAATTCAATTACCTCATTCAACGGCGGGGCAAATGCTCAGCATTCATCACACTCCCAGTCGCCTACTAGCATCAAGGTCGCCAATCCTCCAGGATATTTCCCAGAGTGGAAGACTTACGAAGAGGCCGTGTTCTTGGGATCTCAAGTAGCTGCCAAGGTGATATTCGTTGTAGATCAAGGATTGTCAAAGGGATTTTTATCACGAGTTGATTTCAATGAAGAGGGACCAACTGCTATTCACCAAGTGTAAGTTTTGCTTTCCTTCGATCCTGATATAGATTATATGTACTGATACAGAAACAGTGGACTTGTGTATTGAACTGTTATCTAAGAGGCGCATGTGGTGGTGCATTTGGGTTAAAAGCAGAGAATTATGATAAATTTTAAAAACAAAAAGTATACCCATATTTTCATGAAAGTTCTTGTATTCATATTTGTAGTAATAAAATGAATATTCTTATATGTAACTTGAGGTGAGATTCTCGAGAAAAGTATTATTGATGGTATGATATTGATTACTCAGTTACTTGCTCGGGGTTTTACTTTCCTGAACTCGTAAGATATTTTGCACAGAGATTTCAACCATGTATCTGGAATCAACAAGGGGTCGATAGGTAAGGGTTATGTCATACCATTTGATAGGTACCCAGGTACTGTGTATCTAAAATTCTCATAATCGCCTAATTCGGCAATTTCGATTCCATGAGCTTCAATGCAATAGAAGCAATGAGCCATTTTAAGTGGACTATTTCTTTCTTTTTGTTTTATTAGGTAGCAAAGTTCCCTTCATATATTTTCTTGGTTAGTGCAACAAATTCACCAATACCGCACACAACAGTGCGCTTAAAATTTCAGTCAGATTGAAGTTTATTTAAGTCACATCAATTTACTTTTGAACTCCTCAAACTTACAACAAAACACCGTACAACAATCTCCTCCCTCTTTCCTGTTTCCTCCTTCCTCTTTCCGACAACCACCCTCTCCCTTTTCCACAACCGCCTTGTCAATCAATAGGGATTTCTTTCTATTGATACTAGGTCTTTGATTTCATCGACTGGGTCCTCTTTACTTCTTTTCAAGTACATTATCAGGGTTTGAGGGTACATATTTTCTCTGTCCTAGGATCGACCTTTGAATTTTATGTGAGTATTCTTGCCCTGTTCCTGAATCCCTTAATCTACTCAAATTCTACATTTTTTCTGTGCAAACCCTTTTCACACATTGACTTTTTGCTTTTTTTTATCCTTGCACCCAGACTTGATATCGATCCGATGAGATGTACTTCCCGGAAACTCTTGTAGCTTCCTTATAAAAGAAATGCATGGATACAGATGACACGTTCGATCTCAAGCAACACATCCTCACTACTTGTGTCCTTTGGCCCTGCTAATGCTACCTACAGTGGGCAGTTCATCATGTCTCGCCTTAAAAGAACGGCTAGAGTACCGCCGCCTGGACCCAAAACAAAGGCAACCAAGACCACCAAGGCCACAAAGTCGAAGCTGTCTATTAAGAAGAAGAAAAAAACTGTCAGTTCGACCGAAGAAACTCCTCAGCCAGAGGTGAATGGGCCTATTGTGACAAACCCTGTTCACCGGATCTATAAGACAATCACTTTGGAAAGTGACGACATCGAGGATGGGTTGTGGATGATGCGTAAAATTGGTAATGGCAAATACGAGGCTGTCAACCTCAATACCGTTTCGCATGAAGACCTTTGCTCGGAAGAAAATGAGGCGAGAATGGCTTCTCATCCGGAGAGCGTCAATGTTTTCGAAGCTAGCCATAAGTCTTTGGAAAATATCAAAATGAAGTTAGATAGAGCTGTCTTTGCTGCAAGTATGTATTTGACTCCGCGTTCAATTACATATGCTTCACACGTACATAATTGACGGTTTACCGCAGGTGGAAAAGTCTTCCGACTCCAGAAGCTTCCTATCGAGTTGCGATACAAAATTTACGAGTTGGCACTGATTTCAGATTCTGGCTTAATACCTAGTGCGCTCCCCTTTGATGACGGTTGCAAGCAACCAGGTCTGGCGCTGGGCCTTATTGCCTCTTGTCGCTACATTAACGCAGAATGCATGCAGTTCTTTTGGAAGAATGCTTTCAACCTGAGTGCCCCCACCATTAAGCGTCTCAGAGAAAGCAAACAAACCTTGATTCAGAACGCTCGCAATTTCAAATGCGATTGGAGTGGTATTTTTTCCAAGGATTCATTTATTTTTGGACTACTTGCCTCTTGCGAACACCTTGAGACTCTGGAAATTGTATTACAGCGCTCGTGTGTATCTGACGGCCAGCCGACGTATTATAATCGTAAAGCACAGCGTCTACATCAAACCGACAACAGTATTCGAAAATTCAATAAAAGCAATGGTTTCGACAAACTCATTAGTCTCCGCGACCTTAAAAAGGTCATCGTTTCAAAACACTGGACTCTGAATCTTGACAAAACTCTGACCGAAACAGAATTCAAAAATTTCGAGCAGTTTTTGATAAAGAAATTGACAACGCCGGTAGCACCCCCTGTGGTAAGTTCACGATTATGCGAGTGCATCCCATTTATACTTTTCTGACTACATTCAAAGGCCTTTACACAACCTCCTTCAACTCCAGCGAGGAAGTCTACCAGAATTCAAAAGCTCGAAAATCTCAAACCAATCAAATATGTACCTGATCCAGTTAGCGATGACGAGGAAGCATCGTTGAACGAGGATGAGGACGATGACAACGATGACGATGACCAAGACGTTATGTCGATTGCATACATAACATGATAACTTACTCTATCTATTTCCGTTGGAATGATATCTCTATCATATGAAATGCGCTTTCAATGAGATATGGACAGCTTGAAGCCCTAATGTGTCCGGGGGTATGAATTCTTATGGTATGATATAGGGCTCATGAAGGGTTGATGCTCTGATACATGGAGGAACTTTAACACATGTTGTCTAATATATGGACTTGTAGAATCCCACTGATAGTGGTACTCTACATCACCCAATATTTACAAGAAGAAATTGCGTAGTAGGAGAATGGATAGTGGGAGGGGACATCGAGTTTTATGGGAGGATTTCATATCTAGTTAAACGGCAAAGCAGTGTGCATTACTTATGTTGCTAGACAGCGCCAATTATCAGAGAAGATTGCAAGACTTGTTATCCTTTTCACTAGTGAACCCAGTAGCGTATCAATAAAATCATGAAGTGAAGTCAGAAATCTGGACTCTAATAAGTGCCGAGGGAAGTTAGGTTAGCGTTCTGTTGTGGGGTAAAAGATTTAGCTCTGTTGGTCCGTGCACAATCAGATCAATGGTAATAGCTTCAAGATTTCTAGCACTCAAGACTTCTGGTTTCGCAAATTCAATAATTCAATCAAATCATATTTCACTTTTTTTGACCCACCATCGTGTTTGGTCACAGGATATAAAATGTCAGTTGACGGACAATCACCACGCAGGGGCTCTATACCATCAGCAAATACCCCAATCCTTCCGCCATTATCAGCATTTGCGCAAAAGCGCGCTCTAGAAGATGATCATCAACCTGCTGTATCGTCACCCCTCAATCCAGAATTCAAGATTCAAAAGACTGGGGAGGAAACGCCCGGTGGCATTCGCGAACGAGCTTCGAGGGCTAAAAAAGAATCGTTGAAGAAAAGGGAATCGAAAGCTGGATCACTTGCGCCAGAAGGGAGTGCGAGAGCTACACCCGATCCAAAATCAAGCTCTTCCAATAAAAAGAAAGCCGCAATCAACTGCATTACTCCTTTACGATACAAGATCCCCCCACCGAAACTACCGGATTTTGAAGCTCCTCGCGGACCGACTCTCCTTCCTTCCCATACCAAGACCGCGCCAGATGGTACTGAGATTCAATTCCACGAGACTACCGACCAGTAAGTTTTCAATCCATACTGTACTTAAATGTAGGCTTATATATACAGTGTATATAACAAAAAGAACTTTCGATATACTCGCGGTATAGCAGATCCTACTTTCCCTTCCATTCTTTACTACCGACAAACAGAAACGGAACCTTTTGGTGCTCGATTAAGTTTTGAAGATTCGGCTCCTCATATGATGATGGATGAAACGGCGACACACATTACAACCGATAAGGGGTTTAGAATGGCAAAGGCTAATGTAGGCATAAGGGAGGGCCGTTGGTTTTGGGAATGCAAGATTACAAGTGGTGTACCAAAACCTAAAGCAGGAGAACCAGCGCAAGAGTCGCATGGTCACGTTCGTATGGGATTCGCAAGGAGGGAAGCAGCTCAAGATGCACCAGTAGGGTTTGATGCCTATAGTTATGGTATCCGGGATGTGGCTGGACAAAAAGTGTGGATGTCTCGACCCAAGGACTTTTTTCCGGCAGGAGAATCGATACACGAAGGGGATGTTATTGGGCTAGAAATTAACTTACCATCTGAAAAGTTGCATCGAAAAGTCGTCGAAGGAAATTACAACCCAGCGGTTGATCTCACGGACGAGGACGACGGTGGAATGGAACGAGCAGATATGATACGAGATCGAGTACCTATCCGCTTTAAAACTCACCTCTACTTTGAACAAATTGAATACTCCACTTGCAAAGAACTAGAAGAGCTCATGAACCCATCGCCAGTCATATCATCAACCGGAGGTGTCTCATCTGCAAGCCAAAATCCTGGTCCAACTCACCCTGTGCCCGCTCTCCGCACTCTGCCGCACTCGTCTATTAAGGTCTACAAAAATGGAAAGTTAGTTGGGACGCCGTTTACGGACCTTTTATCTTTCCTCCCACCCGCCTCGAAACCACAACCTCAAGTTGGTGCTAGGGAAGGCCTAGATGATGGTATGCTTGGTTATTTTCCCGCCGTATCGGTCTTCCGCGGTGGCGCAGCGGAAGTCAACTTCGGTCCTCAGTGGTGGTATCCCCCACCAGGTTCAAGTACAGAAGAAAGTGATGTGGATATGATAGGTGATAATGACTCCTCTCTCCCCAGTATTAGAGCAGCGAGCGAGCGATATGATGAACAAATTGTAGAGGATATTCTTTATGATATTGTCGATGAAGTTGATTTCTGGATCAGAGATGGAGGGGATAGTGGGAAGGGTAAAAAGAGGGATTTACAGTTTGCTAATGGAGGGGCTGCAAACGGTGGGGGATTGGGAGGTGGTGAAGCGGGTGGGGAGATTAAGGAGTTGGTGCAGGATGATGAGTAAGGTGATGGCGTCTTCCGTGAGCAGCGTGCAGCTCAAAAGTATGTGTGCAGGTGGAATAGAGAATAATTTTATGGATATGGATACGGATATGAAAACTAGCATGGACATGGCTATGGAAATTCATGGCGTTTGCTCGGTGCTGTACATCGAGATGCTAATATTTATGGGACATATATTCTTAAACAATGGTTGCTCCGTGTTTAAGATCGAGCTGAAGTGTTATCAAGGAGTGGGCTGTGTAATATGGAAGATGATACTAGAATACCACTTGCCAATGAAGCAGAGTAATTACTCAAATCTATGCTAATATAGTAATTCAATTTACATTTTAACTAAGACGATAAAATTTTTCGAGGGTTTTCTTTATGATTTTGGAATGGGCAATCATCAAGCTTGTGATAGATACGCGATAGTATAATAAGTGTGATGAAACAACAAGAAAGGTTTTTTTTGCCCAAACTGAATGCTTTTTACTCAGATGGCTGTACATATCTATATATCTACAAAATCAATCATACTGATTGAAGATTTAATGAGGGAGAATAACTCTCTCATCTCATCTCATCTCATCTCATCTCATCTCATCTCATCTCATCTCATATTATCTATGATAATTGCCTTTAGTTTTAGGGTTAGTTTTCCATCAGATACTAATACTAATAGAGGTGGCTACCTCACTGTTCCAGTATTTATTTATTTCATTGAGAAAGTTAGGTGGGAAAGGCGTTTT